GAGAAAACACAGGGCTTAAATACACACAGGGCAATCAGGGAATGGGAAACAGGAGGGCGGCACGGCTGTAATTGGACATAACTAGACAAGGGGAGGTGAAACTGGAAACACTGACGGGAGACACAGACCTACAAAATGAAACAGGAACTCACACACGCAAAGACATTAGACATTATTTTAGCAAGTTTGGATTATATTATTGATTTTTGTTTTTCCTTCAGTACATAAAAAGTGGTATATCCCAAAAATAAAACCATGAAGACACAAAATAAATTTCCTGTGGTTGGAAACTATTTTGTGCAACTTTTTTATATTTACAGTTTTGAGGTATAAACCTCTTAAATTTTGTAACATATATAAAACAAGAAATATGTGCAAAAAAGCAATTTTCCTTTTTTTTCCGTTTATTGCACTTTTTTGCAATTTATGTCGATACTATGGACTTAATGCATACATATTATTAAAATTTGGGATATAACGGTTGTATTGATGTACAACAACTTGAAATGTTCCCAAAAAATGGCACTACATGCTGTAATTGGTTTATTTTAGAACACACTTCTGAACTGATTCTTTGATTATATATGGCGTTTATATCGTAAGATATAAACCAAAAATCAACTCTAAAATTACTTACATCTTAAACATAAATGAAAGTTAACTTAATCTGATGTCAGAAGTTCAAAAAGTGGTAAAAAAAAAATCATTTTATTTCTTATTGTCCCACCTGACATCTGGCAATAAAATAACAAAACATTTCCACCACACGCCCACAGCATGCTCTTCTTTAATCAATGGGAGGGTCCAGAGGTTACCAAACCAAGCACAACTTTTCCTAAATAAAATTAATGACTGAGTTATATAGCAAAACTAAGTTTATTCTTACTGTTTTAAAGAAAAGCAACAACATGGCATGGTATACATTTTCACTGCTATGCACCAAACTCTATCTATCCATGAAGCCAAGCCAGATAACACACACCAATTAGTTAAACTGCAAGAATGTCCTAAAGACATAAAGAGCTGGATGGCCGCTAACTTTCTACCAGGAAGAGGAGAGCTGGACACTCTGCGCTCCCTAACAAGAAGAGGGGCCGCGTCCTTCAGAATGACATGCACGCACATGCATACACACCAACATTCCTGTCTATGAACAGACGTATTCACTGTTGTATTACTTTTGTATATAAATAGAGACAAGTGCAAGAACAGAGCGCACATCACAGGGCCCCCACTCTCATGTGAGCGCTCTATGACCGCCCTTGCAAGTAAAAACTGCAGCGTGTGTTTCTACCCTCTGACTCTTAGCTGAAGAAGTGTCTTTTAGAATAAATCTTTTGACATTATGTGAAGTCACTTAGAAGTTATTTAAGTGACTTATTTATCACATTTAAAATTGTAGCGAAAGATAGTGCAGGGTCGGAAAACCGACAACTAGCCAGTGTTCTCGCCGGCTCCTGGCTAGCTATCGAGCGGGTGGGTAACAGA